TTTTTCTTTTGGAGGAACTGGGGATTGAACTCAGGCCCTTGCACTTGCCAGGGAAGCACTTATTCTACTGAGCTATCTCCCTGGCCCATGCCCAGTCTCAATTGCCATCTCAGTGAGCCCTAGGAGCGGGGCTGGTACAGCAGGCTTGGGGATCGAACTCCCAGGCCCTGTGTCTGCCTAAGCAGGTACTTTAATCCACTGAGCTATTTGGATAGCCCTCTTTCTTATTTTTAAAGATTACAAAATAGTGATTTTTATTTGATTGATTGATTGATTGATTGATTGATTGATTTTTTGCAGAACCAGGGATTGAACTCAGGCCCTTGTGCTTGCCAGGAGATAACTCAGGTAAATGCAGGGCCAACTTTGCCATCTCGGCCCCAGATCCCAAGGAGCACCTCTCAGCCCTGGAGGTGGGCGCCTCCCATGCAGCCCTGGAACCAGGCGAGGTGGCAACGTGTGAAATCCCAACACTCAGGAGGTTGAGCCAGGAGGATCTCTGTGAGTTTGAGACCAGCCTGGGGCTACAAAAGTGAGCACAACACCAGCCCAAACTGCAAAGTGAGACCCTGTCTCAAAAAAAAAAAAAAAAAAAAAAAAGCACAGCCTTCCCAGGTACCCCTATGTTCCAGTGTGGCATCCTGAAAAGTGCAAGAAAGCTTCCAAATCTCCCCGAGTGCAGAAAGGCAAGGCCAACTTTGCCTTCAGCTCAGCAGAATTAATCCTCACTTTACCTCTTTTGTCTGTAATCAGTTCTTGTTTTCGAATGTTTGGGGAAGGAAGGAATTCTAATTCACCTGTGCAGAAGTGTGCTGACCTGGCGCTGCTCTGCAGACTCTATTCCACCTTATTTGAGAGCCAAGTTAGACCTGGAGGCCGGTCCAAGGCCAGCTGTTGGTGATGCTGTAGTCACTGGTGCATAGAAGGGAAAACTGGGCTTGGTGTGCTCTCCTGTGAGCCCAGCACTCAGGAGGCTGAGGCAGGAGAACAGTAAATTTGAGCAATTTGGTGACTCAGTGAGATTTTGTCCAAAGTAAAAAAGGGTTGGGGGGGATACAGCTAGATGCAAAAACCCTGGGTTCAATCCTCAGTATCAGAATATGAGAAAGAAAAAGAAAGAAAAAGAAAAAGAAAGAAAGAAAGAAAGAAAGAAAGAAAGAAAGAAAGAAAGAAAGAAAGAAAGAAGCGAGGGAGCAAGAGAGGGAAAGAGAAGAGTGGGGGGAGGAAAGGAGGAAAACTAAAACCTCCAATAAAGTCCTTCTAACACCTGATCCTAAGCATGTTCCAGAACAACATAGTCTTGCAGAAATGCATGCTTAATTTATGAAGATTCTGATGGTCTGATCAAGGTAATGCATCTGTTTTCCAGCCTTCATTGTTTTTGTTTTAGTGATATCAATGAACTAGAAAGAAGGCACAGACACTGGTGGCAAGGATATTTGGATTATTTTGATGTCAAGGAGAAATTTTGACTCTTGCTATGCAGTGCATCTGCAAGAAATATAGTCATAAAAGCATGAAAGCTGAGCTGTTATTAATTGCAAATCACCTATATTCATGAATTTTCCCTAAGGGATATAGATCCAAAGAATATTTTTGGCTTGACCATTTCTTTCTTTTTCTGGTGGTACTAGGAATTGAAGCTGTGGTCTTCTCACTAAGCTATACCTTTTGTTCTTTTTTGTAATTTGAAGTTTGAAACAGGGTCTCACTAAGTCATTAGATTTCTCAGGCACGGTTCAATCTTCCAGTCCTTCCTCCTCAGCTTCCAATGGGTTAGATTATGATGTGTGCCATCCCTGGCCATCCCTAGCCTTATGATCATGGCGTGCCCTTCAGAGAAAAGCAAGTCTGTATATTTCCATTCTTATAGCTCTCATGTAACCTCTTACAATATTTTCTACAAAGAAAATGAGCATTTATAAAACTGACATTTAAAGTAGAGAAGCTATTATTATACCAACATTTTCAACACCAGCCATATTAAGAATCATAAAAATAATACTGAAGGACTTGCCCCAAAATAAAATAACATAATAAAAAGCTAATAAACTAGAAAGTGTGTTAAATTGTAATACTTAAAGAGATGCAAACTATACATAGAGAATGACAAGACTACTCTTACATCTCTTGCAAGGGAGATTTGAGCAAAGATCTATGGCTAGAAACTTCCTAGGCAAAGGGAACTCAAATATCAGGGCTCTTACATGGGAGCTTGATGTGCGTGCTCTGGGGCCAGTGAGGGGGCCAGCGCAGCTGAGCCAGCAGGGGCGGAAGGACGTTGAAGAGACAATGGAGACAAAAGAACATTGGCTTTGGGATGCTCATTAAGGATTATGAATTGATTCTGTGTGTTATGGAAAACTTCAGTAGAATTTTGACCTCATCTACCTATCTTAATTTATTTGTAGAATTCAGTTTTCTTTTTTAAGATTCAATTTGCAAAGTTCAAGTTATCAAGCATGCAAACCATTTCACTGCAGTCCTCCTGGTCTCCCAAACAGTAAGCACTTTCAATTCTCACTTATTCTTCAGAGGTTTAAAGAAAGGCATTCCCAGCCTTCATAGCTTTGACCACAGAATACCAAAGCACAAGACCAGGTGGGGCCCTCACAAGTCATATAGAATCCTACGTGCACACAGAAAACATGACTGAAGCTTCTTTACACAGAACTACTAGCATCTCCTCAGTGTTGTCATCGTCGCTCAAGTCAGATTATTCTAATGCTGAACATTTTATAACACCATATCAGGTAAGGTATCAAAATTTGACATTGAGGGACATTCTGTAAACTGAGACATGATTTTCAAAAAGAAAAAAAAATCTTTCTACATGACTAAGACCCCCCAGGAGAACCCCACATTCACACTGCTGACCCCAGCACAAATGGGCAGGGGCATGCAGCAGGGCAGGGCATAGACTCTACTTCCTCTTGTGATACCGCAATGCCTGGAAAAGCATTTATTTCAACAGCACTTTATGCTACTCATTAACTCAACATCATGAGCTTTGAATAATTTCCTACAAGCTTGTAGGTAAGTTAGGACTCTTTAAGGTGTGTAAGTACATTTGTGTGTGTGTGCGTGTGTGTATACACACATGCGAGCGCGTCAGTTATTGTATTTCTTTTTAAAACTTCATAGAAAACTCCAAGTTACTCCATATGTCTGAGAAGTGAAATATCTTCTTACAGACACTTATACCTAACTGAGCGTGCCTTGCCTTGCCTGATTCAATCACTTGTCAAACTGATACCCAACCAACAGAAAACTGGAATACTCTACTAGGGTTCTTTTGTTTGTTTGTTTTTAAGCATATTTCTTCCCAGGACCTGAGCCAGCACCTAGCTATGCTGTGTGATCCACAAATGAGTAGAATTAGTAACATGAAGCTAAATGCATAATCTTAGGTCTCATCCAGCTCTACAGAATAAGAATCTTCATTTGAGTCAGACTTTCAGGTCATCTACATGCACATTAAAAATTGAAAAGCACTAGTCTAGAGTAGTGTTTCTCTCTCCCAGCATGGTAGTAAACTGATCACCATTCTCAGAATCACCTGTGCAATGTTTTCTTAAAAAGTTTCTGGCCTGTCCCACAGAGAGACAGTCACACTCTCTTGGGGGTTCCCAAAACTGCATCACAAGTTTCTTCTCCAATCATATAGCAGTCTAATGTTAGGGCTGACAGGACAACATGTGAAGGCACGCTTTGTCTTGTTCATATCTATGATTTCTTCATGAGACTAAAAATCACTAAGCAAAGCATATGCAGGAGGTTAAAATGACCAAACTGCACATTTAGCATGGAAATACAAGCACACTCACATGACCTGGGAGATAAGAGCAAAGAACACCTTCAACACTAGATCAAAACCAGCCAAGGAGCTTCCTTTGAGCCTTAGACTGGAATGCAGACTCTCCAGTTAATTGCATCAGAGAGGAAAAAGAGTAAATGGTAAACAATAACTCCATCACACCTCTCATACTCTTCTTTAAACACCACTCTCTGTACTTTGAAACATTACTAAAATTTTATTTGATTCTAACAAGTTACTCTCAATATGGAGAGTTTGTCTTTCATATATGAAAAAATACTGAAAGTATCAAGAATATTGTGTTTTTATTCCTTCTGTATTTGGTGATGGTCTTTATTAATAATTGCTAGGGTGAATTGTTTTTTTCACATACCAAGCTGAAACCTGTTGCTCCATTTGTGCAACTCCATAGAAAAACTAGTCGACATTTTGAATGCTTAAAAAATCCAGTTATGTACAATTTTCACTTTCTGTCCAAATTAATCTTGGAAACACTGGGAATTGTAGATCATACTGCTCTCAACTAAGATCTAATATTTTAGTATTGTAAGATAGCTTGTGTTAAAATATTTAAAATATCAGCACACAGGACTTTATTTGCTCTGACTTAATATACAGAAAATTAAACAGAAGAACAAAACACATACTACTAGGAATAACAAATGATATTTGAAAAGTGTGAGCGATTTTTAACACCTTTGGGATTCTACTTTTAGAAACATGACTTACCTCAGAGTACAGGATTCCCATGTCAGTCCTCCACAGACCTGTTTCACGTCTGGGACTTCCTGAATCTTCCAGAGGTATTTCTGATTAAAATCAAACTTCTTTCCCCAGAGAAAAGTCCCTAGAAGTCCAAGCTAGGGCAAGGGTTTGCCTCACACCTTTGAGTGTTTTTCCAGCGAAGCAGAGAGCAATATGTTCCTTCTACAAACAGCAGCCTAGAGAAAGAAAGGCACTGGCTTCCCGTGGAATGACCCAGCCGTGCATCAGCGCATGTTACAACCTGAGGAGCCGGTTTCTGAGTCACATCTGCTCTGCCCGTGGCAGTGTACAAGAAGGAAGGAAGCAAAGTGGGGGGAGGGTAGAAAGTTCCTAAATTAACAGGAAGGATTCAGGGTTCAAGATAGGATGGTGTGTTTAGGACATGTCCTGTAACTAAATCTGGTTTTCAGGGGCCATTAAGAAAGGCTACCGGCCAACAGATTCGCTTGTGAGAGCCATAGGTACCTGGCCAAGGACTGAGAAACACCTCCAGATTCCTCAGACATTACCACCCACAAGGAATAGCTCCCAAGGGTTTAATCAGTCTCGTAAGCTAATAAATTAAATGTGATTTTTACTTTTTAAAATTCAATTGACACAGAATAATTATGCCCATTTAAAGGGCATAAGGTGATGATGCAGTACAAATGCATAAAATTTGGGTCATGTGCAGTTCTATCTCCTTAAGCATTCATAATTATTTTTGTATGCTGGAAACACTCTGACTCCTATCTTGTAGTTCTTTATAAGATGCACAACCAATTTTCGTGACCTATAATCACCAGACTGTGCTACAGAGCCCCTTAACTTGTTCCTATCCAATTGTATTTCTGTACAGTTATTCACCCACCTCTACCCCCATTCCTTTACGGCCTCTAGTGACTATAGTTCTAATTCTCAACTTACTAGTAAAATGTTAGATTATCTTGAATACTCTAATACTATTTACCAAATTATCCAAATTAATTTATGACATTTAATTTAACAATTATAGGTAGGTCTAAATCAATTATTCTATTTAAAATTTTAAATCAAATCATCTATTTATTTGGTATGCAAGGCAATTATTCAAACGTTTTGTCTTTACTGAACACAGTATATTAAAGTTATGTCTGAAACTTTCACACACATGAAGTACTCACCCTCTACACACACCCAGAAAACAAGCAGTACAAGGTCAAACAAACTGATATGATTTTTCCAATCCATTGAGGTTGTTTAGGGGCCAGAGACTAGGGGACAGGATCCAAGGCCCATGCTGAGTGCACAAAGGGAAATTTTTCCTATTCCATGGAGGATGTTCTGCTTTACTTTCGCAGGGGTTATAGCAAGAATTGCATACTCCAGTATGCTATGGAGTCGTCCTTGAGACCAGCGTCCCAGGAGTTTAACAGTTAGCTAATTCCGTGGGAGGAAACAGGAATCCGTAATACCACTGACCTCCCCCCAGCTGACTTCCTCTTTGGCTTGGGTTCACTTTGCATTTCTTTAGTTTCCTAACAAATTTAACATTGCTTTCTCCACAGGCACTTTACTTTCTTACACAAAGCTTTTGTAACACTAGGTTGTCACACTTTTTAACTCAATTATGTGGACCAAAATCTTCAGAGCTACTACCTCCCCCCTAAGTTTCTCCAAGCTCTTTGCCTCCCAAGCAAACAATAAAAATCTGTTAAATTTTTTATCTAGATTCCACTTAGTCTTACTTGATTCTGCATGTCTTTCTTGATGTCATTTAGTTTTAAAGGAAGAATACTTATTATTTTTATTTTTAATTTGTGTATTTGGTACAAGGTCCCATTGGGCAGCTCAGACTCGCAGTGATCCTCCTGTTTTCAGCCTCTCCAGCACTGGGATTAGAGGCTTGCATTGCCATGCCCGATCTCAGTGGCCAGCTCAGCACACCAAGGGACAAGGTTGGTGCCACATGTAGGCCTCGGAATCAAACCCCAGTCCCTGCACTTATGTAAGCAGGCTCTTAGTCCACTGAGCTATTTCGCTGGCCCAAGACTACTCATTACATTAGCAAAAGAGTAACTGCTTCAATGTATGATTAACTCTAAAACCAAGCCAATAAAAAATCAACTGAGTCACAGTAATTGGTAAGCCACTTGCATTTAGGTCCAGACCACTGGGCCTCACCATGGGTGACCCATCCCCAGATGAGCTGCCATATTTAGCACATAAAAGTATAAGGTGCTCAGTTAAATTTGAATTTCAAATAAATTTCTGAAACATTGCATGGGACACACCCATACTGAAAATTTTGTTTGTAACTGAGAGTTGAAGATTTCAGTAATGTATGGGGACACTCTTGCTGGTAAGTTGGGCATGGACGCTTGTTACTGGTGCTGATGAGCAGAAGCCAGAGACGGTGCGGAACATCCCACAGAGCACAGGGCACCTTCTCACAATAAGGAATTGTCTCATCCAAACTACTGCTAGAGGGACCCTGGTGTAAGTTTACCAAGAGGTGAAGATGAGGACTTGATCGATTATGGCATTAGAATATAATGTGATGATTAGAAAATAATATAGTCAGAAATACTGCCAAAATAGAGTAAAAGTTCCCAGAGACGCATTCAGGTTCACTCTAGCAAAGTGAGCCTATAATTACAAAGACAGATTGTGAAAAAGAAGCTCCTGGAAATGCCTTTCACCCATGAGTATCTTAGCTCAAGACACAATTTCGGAGTCAGACACTGAGGCTGTAAAATGAGAAGCAGCCATTTGGACCAGGTCATTTTCTTGACGTCAGCAACCCAGTGATCTGCTCCATGCATGGGGCAAGGCAAGGTGGCCCGTCTCCCTTTGCGGGACCCCCTCCTGGGACCCTGTCCAGTGACATACCCCAAAGACTTTCTCCAAAAGAATAACAGGGGCTGTGGTCCACAGAGCACAGGCAAGTGTCATGATCAGAATTTTACTTATGCAGTCTGGCTGTTGTGTGGAGAATGGATATGAAAAAAGCAAGAGAGGAAACGGCCAGGCCAGGCAGGGCACTTCTGCCTTAGGTCTGCTGGGAGATAATGGTGACCCGAGGCTGAACTCTATGGCTTGGGAGGTAGGGATAACAGGCTCCGGAAAATGACCTGTGAGGCTTCCATCTCCTGGCATCAATTACACATTACTACTCTGTTCTGTCCTGCAGTGCTGACACCAGGACTCTGAGGGTTCAGGAAGCCCCACCCCCACCAGTGACTCTGCCCTCAGAGGCTACAGGGTACAGTAGAGACACCTGCTCATTCCTACGTGTTTGTTGATCCTATCAGCATTATCTCAGAAATTGTCCTTCATTCCTAAAAATAGCTACTGGTTCAGCTTCATTCCCACAACCCGGAAACCAGCCATTCACACCTTTCAGGGACCTAGCATGGCTGCTCTTCTCTTCTAATTTTAATCCAACTTCATGTAATTTTTCCCATGAGAGTGTAGGTTTCAGCAGCAGCTAGATTATGGCCTCTCAAGGCTGGAGTTTTAGAATCTTGAGCCCTTTTCCGAGTTTTAATAATATCAACTTCCTTGTTCGTTTGGTGCAAGGGGTGGTAGTTGCCATCGTATTCTTATCTCTGCTACCTCAATATTCTGCTTGTGTTTGGAGTCCACCACTGTTTATCAAACAAATTCTTTTATTAAATACATCCTATTGAAATGACTAGTGTGATTTTCTTTATGAAACCCCAAGTGATACAATCTGGAAAGGACTAAGAGCTAGTAGTGATAGGAGTTATCATGTGATATAAGGCCAAGGGGGGCTGAGGTTGCAGCTTAGTGGTAAAGCACTTGATTAGAAGGTGGAAGGCCCCGATTTACAGATACAATAGAAAAGGCAGGAAAGGGGGTGTATGCATGCATTTGGCTAGGAACCTTGGTAGATTTTGGCGTGTTTCACAGAAATACTGAAGAGCAAGATTTAAGAAGGGCTGGGGAGAAAAGATCAGTTCAGGTTTGTAAAAATTATGCCTAAATTATACATCCGTAGTGCATAGAAGTAGAGATTCCACAGGAAACTTTTAATTTGGTTCTGGAATTTTAGAGTAGGGCCTTCTCTTACATCTTTTTATTGCTGCTGAGAGAAAAATACGAAACACTCAAAGAAGGAAATGGTTAATCAGACCACACTTGGTAGAGAGTTCAGTCCGCAGTTGGCAGCTCCAAGGCAGGGCAGCACCGAGGAGCACCAGTTCCTGGCACGGAAGGCAGAAGGCAGGAGGTGGCAACAGAGGTGAGCACCAGGTGGCCAGTGAAAACAGCAGCCCTCTTCTGTCCCTTATATTCTCTCAAGGCTACACACTCTTAGGGCAGGTAGAACTCACTCCCAGGGTGGGCCTTCCCATTGCCCAAACCCAGAACTATGCCGAGCCAGTCAGTAGACAGGTTTAGTAATCACACACCCTGATCCCAGCCTCACACACTTCATCCCAGATTCACACACTAGATCCAGCTGCCTCTGGAAAGCCCGACCCATGACTACATGACTATGTAAGGCTTTGGGGCGGCATCTATACACATGCAAGAACAGGGTGACACTGGACACTAAGGTTCTCAGTAGCATTAACTATAGACTTATAATCTTCAATACAAAAATGGAAGAGCTCAGGTAATTTACCAAAGTCTACCCTGTCATCTACACAAAGTCCTTGGTTATATAATGTCATTTCTTTAAGTAACACAGGGACCTTTTCCTTTGTATTTTAAAATGTTTTAATGTTCGTAACTATTATCTAACCAAAATATGCAACTTGATGATGAAAATGTCTGTCTTCTGAGAATTAAGCAGTGCTCTCTTCCACCCCTTTCTAGAATTCACTTGCTTGTACATGCTTTTTACTTTGTTTGTTAGTTAAAAATTAAGCACTGGATTCAGAGGCCAAATTGGAATAATAACTATGTACACTAACATATCTTTACTTCTTTTAAAAGGCCCACTGGAGTACATTAAAATTTTTAAGAATATCATTAGGGCAAACAATGATTCACAAATTGGGCAGCTCCAAAGCAAGGCCTGGTACACACACCTACAGTCCTATACACAGGAGGCTGAGGTGTGAGGTCTCTGTGAGTTTGATGACAGCCTGGCTGCTTAGTGAGCTCAGTCCCATGCTCAACTACATAGCAAAACCTTGTTAAAAAAAAAAAAAAAAAGTTGGGCAGCTGCAAACTAAAAAAGACCCAGGAAGTTCTCAGAGGGAACACAAGACAGGACATGAA